GTCAAAAACTTAAAAAAATTTCTCCATTTTGACATACCAGAAAGCGGAAATAGCAAAGGCAGCAACATTGACTTTTCGATGTAGTTTTTGAGCTTGAAGCTCAAAGCATTAGAACCCTCTCTACCGGGGATTCATCTTAAGCCACTAGACTGGCCAGAGCAAAGCAAAATCATTAGAGCCACTATGGAAAGGAAGGCCAACAGCCTTGAGTTTTGGTGTCACTCTGGTTAATTAAAGAGGAGGGTCCTTTAGGAGAAGTAAAGGAATCTACATTTTGCTTCCTATACAAGGCATTCTCTTCCATGGTCTTTATAATCTGTGAGCTCCATAGCCATGCTTTGAGTATAAGGTGTCCTAAGCCAAATGGCTTTTGTAGTCTTTAGATTATGAATGCTCCATTCTCTTTCCGGCTTACATATTCAGAGATTCCCCAAAAGTGGAAAAGTATTAAAATTTGATTTGTGCAGTGCAGTGTAGATTGCAGAGCTTGAATTGAACAAGAAGGAGGCTGGTGCCATACGACACCTAAAGTGATTAATTGGATTGATAAAGTCTGTGTCTTTGGCCTAGATGGAGTCTCGGTGCAAAACTATGTCATTTTAGAGGAGAAGGGACTGAGACCATTGCCTTTGTGAAGAATTGCAGACCCCAATTCTAGTTTCCAAGAGAAAGGCATAAGTAGAGATGGAGATGAAACTCCATTCTTTTCCTTCTTTTTATTTTCTCGTGTGAATGTTTTAGTGACTCAGATTGAATGACTGGGAGAGAGATTAGAATTTGTGGATTGAAAAATTTGAGGGAACAGATGCACAGAAGCTAATTTGGTAGTGAGGTTGCAGGTTGGTCTTCATGGGTTGTAGAGAAAATTGTAATTTGGGTTTGAAAAATAGTTTAATAGGTGAAGGCTTTTTAGTTGTAGGTTTTCATTTGGAGAAACCACATAAATAGGTTTTGCTTTACACACTCTTGAGCAAGAGTGTTCGAGGCTTTGTTGATTTTAGTAGTAGGCAAAGGTGTGCCAAGCTTCACCCTTGCATACGTATGCGAAGCTTCCACCCTTAATAAACTTGTAAGTTTACTCATTCATAGGTGTGGATGACGTGGTTCTTGGAATAGCTAATGTGGTTCGTGTCTTGCATAATAGTAATATACAACAGTTATGGTTATTGCATCATCGTTTGGAACATGCATTGTTTGATTATTTGAAGTACATGTTACTTAGTTTATTCAGTGGGATTAAAGACTCTGAAATGAAGTGTGAAGTATGTACTTTAGCCAAATGTCATCGTGCTTCATTCTCTTTAAGTGTGAGTAGGTATTTTCTGTTTGTGCTAGTACACTCTGATGCATGGTGGCCTTCCCCTATTAGTACTACTCTGGGAATTAAGTGGTGTCAAGGTCTTTTGCTAAAGTTGAGTATAGAGGTATAGCATAAGGAATACATGAACTGCTTTAGTTACGTAAACTTTTGACAATTTTGATAAGGAATATGTGAACTCCTTTGGTTAAGGAATATGGCACAAGGAATATGTCCCAGATACCCACACGCAGTAGCAAATTCTAACACTTGCACAAACTGTAAAAAAATTGGAGGAAACAAAAGTGGAGAATGGAGTAAGATTCTTTCCCCTCCTAATCTCTCTCCTTTTCTATCTCCTCCTATTTAAACAGTTGCGATTACGCTACGTCTACATCTTATTTTGAAGTTTTGATATAGATAATAAGACAAAAAGAAGAGTGTGAAATGAGGGGGATGATAATAGGAAGGGAGAGAATGATACTCCGTGGAGAATAGCCAGACACGGTACGGCAACAGGTGGCAGCGCAAGACAGGTGCAACTACAAACTTGGTGCAGATCTGCAGCACAAGATAGGTACAATTACAGACACAATACAACAATCCAAGTAGCAGCCAAAGAACAAGAAGATCGCCTATGGTATAGTTGCAAAAACACACTAGTTGTACACAATTTACTATTTAGAATTCAGATTAAAACCAAGCTCTTGATGCCAAGAAGAAATATATTAAAATACTTTGTTACTTTATTCATCTTTCAAAGTTTACAATATATAGGTACATAAGCTTTATTCTACAAGGAATGTAATTACAAGGATACTGAAACTAAATACAAGGGATTACAAATACTAATCCTACCTAAAAGGGACTCCTAAAACATTTACAATTTAAGACTCAAATCAACAATAGTAGGGGTGGTGATGATACTCATGGAAATGATGGTGTACAGGTAGCAGTGATGGTGACAGAGGTGATGGTGGGTGTGAAGGAGATGATCATGAAAACGTAACGTTGGTGACATGATGGTGGAAATGGAGATAATGATAGCCCTTGCATTAGGATAGGTGGTGGAATACACATTAGAGAATTGAGAAAAATGGAATCTATCAAAATCATTGAGGAAGAGATTGAATTTGCTATGACATAAAACTTATTGTAAAAGTACTCAAAGACCATGTACACACCGAAAAAAAATGAAGCTTGAGCATAAGTTAATGAGGCTTTTAAGCTTGATATGACAAAGGCTTACAACATGGTGGAATGGTCGTTTCTTATACCAATGATGTTGCAGAGATTAGGTGGGATGAATCGTGGACTGTTTAATGATGTTTAAATTTTTTAGTTCTTTGGAAAAGCCTACTTGGATCATCATCCCTCAATAGGGTTAAAGACAAGGTTGTGCTTTTATAGCCATGAACTCTCCTTATATGTGTAGAGAGGCTTCTAAAGTTTCAGCATGATGGTTCAAATTAATTAAAGGATTGGTGTCTCTTGGGTGGGCATAAAAACCACCAAACCGCATCGAACCGTATGAAAAAAAACTAAAAAGAACCATGTTGACCGGAAAAGTGAACTTTGAGTAAAAAACTGAATTGGACCGGTTCAAACTTGTTTCGGTTCCGGTTTCAAATGAACAAGAACTGGCAGGAACCAAACCGAACCGTTTTATTAATAATAAATAAATTAATTATATATACATACATGTCATGGTATAATAGGTTGAAAAATTAGTTTCACCAAGTTGCAAAGTAATGGATCCCATCCCAATTAGGGCTCACCCACCTCACCCTCACCTCACTCACGGCCTCCCATCCCCCATTTCACACCTTTAGACTTTCATTTTTTTTTTTTCACTCAGCCGACAACTAACTCACGGCCTCTCGGAGCATGAGTTTGATAGGTACTTGTTATATCGCAATGAAAAAGTGGAAGTGGGTCAAGATTTTGATATTTTAAATAGGTGGAAATTGAATGGTGTTAAAAACCCAGTGTTGGCACTAATTGCAAAGGAAGTTCTTGCAATTCTGATCTCAACGATAGCTTCAGAATCTGCCTTTAGCACAATATGAAGGATTGTGAACTCATATTGTACTTCATTGACTCATCTAATGGTAAAGAGGTTAATTTGTACTCAAAATTGGTTGATATCAGATAACATCTCAATTTTAGACTACGAGACAATCTTGGAAGATATAGAGTTTTATGAAGCACTTGAAACATGTATGACTATTTATTTTTCATTACTTTGTTTTTGCTTTTTCTCTTGTTTTGTTGTATGCTTACTTTCTTATTTTTTAATGAGTGCTTGATTTTTATATGTTCCAGAAAAAAGGAATGGTAGCACATCTAGCTTTGGGGCTTCAGAAACTATTCAGTCCTAACTTATCACCTTTTACTATTGATGGTATGTATATAACTTTAGTTTTTTTAGCACCTTCCTTACTAATTTGAATTGTAAGCTTGTTGTTTGATGTATATTGTTTGCTTGCTCTCTGAAATAAGAAGTCTGATTTTGCTTCTTTGAAATAAGTTGTTTAATTTGATTATATGTTGTTTGATTGTGTACATGAGCTGCTGTTTGAAAAAGAATCTGCCATTGCCAAGGACATTTGGATTTTTGTTTTTGCTAGTTGTTGCTGCCAATATCAAGAGACCAATGCATATTTCCTTTAATGCTATTTGAATATTTCTTTTTGCTTGCTGCTACTACCAATATCAGAAGACTAATGTTGCTTGAGTTCTTGATTTTTTTTGTTTGTTGACTGACCAATGCATATTTCTTTTAATTGTCTCTTGTTGTTCACTTGGTGCCACTGACCAAAGACATTTGCATTAAAAATGATATGGTGTTCACTTGAATGCATGATGATTTGAATTTTTTTTTTTGCTTGTTGTTCACTTGAATGCATGATGATTGGTGTTCAAATAATTTAGTATTTGGAACCGTAAACCGGCAAGAACCAAATTGGAACCGATGTAGACCGAACCGTACGGTTCTAATAATAAATTTAAGCGGAACCACACTGAATAGAACCGTTGATATTTTTTCGATTTCAGTTCCGGTTTGGGGGTAGAATTGTATCAAGCCGCACCGTGCCCACCCCTAGTCTCCTTTAGGAGAACAAGTTCTACGACATAGGTTAATTGTTACAGTAACTTCTTGTGCTAATAATGTAAGAATATGTAGAAAAATGTCACATATGTCTTTGTATTATTTACATGGGACGCCACATGGTAGTGAACCCATACCATATAAGTTTTCTCCCTCTTTTAGGAGAACAACTTGTATGATATAGATTCACTGCCGTGGTGACGTCCCATGCCAATAACATAAGGACATGTAGAAAAAAACTAACTTATGTTCTTATATTATTGACATGAGGCACCATGTAATAGTAAACTCGTGCTATGCGGCATTTAGAACAAAAAATTGTTGTATTAAAAAAAAAAAAAATCATGTTGTGAGGGCAAGATTCATTATTTTGTAGTTTCAATGTTTTGTTGGGCTTGGGCCCGCCCATTAACAAAGAAATTATGCACTAGGTTAGCCGTTGGGCCCACAAGTTTAACATTTAAAAATATAAAAAAGAAGAATTTATAGGGATGCTCGAAGTCGAGGGCTCTTGTATTTCCTTTTGGTTTTTGATTTTCAGCAGCCACCGCGCTTAAACCCCAAAAACCTTCCAGCGGCCACGAAAGCGGTTGCTGAGAGAGACAGAGATGATTAGGGGCGGCAAGAGCTTCGTGTCAGCACATCCTGCCTTCTCCGCCGATGCCAAGCGCCTCCTCGTCTGCACAGGCACCGCCGTCTCCATCTTTAGCACCTCCACCGGTTTGCAGGTTTTCCAACTTTACCCTCCTCTTGCTCCTCAATTTACACTCTCATACCCCCTCCTGCCTGAAAATATTCGATTTTTTTGTTTCTTTCTTTTGATTAGATATCGTCCTTGGAGGGTCACAATGGCTTGGTCACCTCCGTCATAGTAGTTCCGGGCAACAAGGCTCTGAGCTTCTGCTGGACCGCCTCCGTCGACGGCACCATTCGCTATTGGGACTTTGCTGTTCCTGAGTTGATGAAGACCATTGATATCAAAATGCCCATTTTCTCTATGGTATGTAGCTTTGCTGCTTTATTCTAGTTTTTCAATTTCTGTTTGGAAGCCCAGAAATTTTTGACGGCGTGAGCAATATGGTTTTTATTTTCAGGTTATTCCGTCCATAATGGGCCAACCCGGGAAAGGAACACGAGAGGATGATTCTAATGCAGCTCATGTTTTTGCTTATTTGTCTGTTGAAAATACCCAAGTGCAACCAAACACACCAAAGCCGTTGCGTGGACGGATTCGGAAGTGTAATTTGACTGAATCTCGTTTGGCTGGCGGTGCTCTCTCTGAGGTGCAGCAATAGTGAACTAGAAGTTCTTTGACTTTATACATTGTTCCTACACATTATATGTGATATTCATGCGGTTTACTTCTGGCATGTGTGGAAATGAATATATGAAGGGAACAAGTGCTATGATATGCTTTATTGCATGAAAGTTACATTTACGTGTTTAGTGCTTTTTCGTATACGTTGATAGCTATGTGTTATCATGTGTTGTTTTGTATTGCCTGCCAATGTAGTAATGTTCTCATACCCAATTTGATGCCGGTGCATGTTACTCATGATCAGAAGTTGAAGGATATAACAGTTGAAGTCCTTAACATTGATGCAAACATGTGTCTGTATGAACTTTTCCATAATGTACTGATTAAGAGCTAATATTTGTTCAGACCAATTTCCTTTACACTATCCAAGACCGAAAGAATTATTTCATTCCCTCTCAAGAATTCATATTAACTTTTTTGAGATGAAACTTCCTTTAAGAGATACATGAGGATAATTCCATTCACTCCTCAGCCCTTTAACACCTTCCAGAAATTATATAGGAATAGCTTTTTCTGAACTACGTTAAATTTGTTGAAAGTGGACTCCAATTCCAATATTTCTTCGCCTATTGTTATTCAATTCCAAAATTTCTTCTCCTATTGCAATTTATGAGGCATGACAAATTGACAATGGGTTTGAATTTGACAGACTCGAAAACCAGAGGCTATAACTATCAGTCCCTCAGGAAAATTCTTTGGCATCCGGAACAAACGGAAGCTTCATATATGGAGAGTCCCTGCTATAGACTCGAAACTCATGATTGCTAAGAAGATTACTCTGCATCATACAAGAAACTTTAACGTTCTTGCATTTCATCCAACTCAGGCAATTGTTGCCGCAGGTGATACAAGTGGGAGAATTCTAATCTGGACAGGATTCGGTAAACGTACATTTTCCGATGGTGATAAATTAATGAAAGGAAGATCAATGAATAATGAGGAAGAAAGAGATGGAGTTAGGGGAGATGACGATGCTGATGCTTCCTCCACCTGGCATTGGCATGCGGCTGGAATAAGTGTACTTTCTTTCTCTTCTGACGGTGCCTATTTATATTCAGGTATGTGGGTTTTGAGCGACTGAGGTGAAAATCGCCTGGATTATGCCTTGCTTTGCATGGATTCTTATTGTCAAGTGACATTTATGAGAATTCTGTCTTATCCAGGTGGAATGGAAGGAGTTCTTGTGGTCTGGCAGCTAGACACAGGGAAAAAGAAGTTCTTGCCCAGAATTGGTTCTCCTCTTCTATATTTGACTGATTCTCCCGACCCTTCACTTTCTTCTGTAAGAAAACTTCAATTTTCTGGGAGGGAGTATTGTAACATAGTCATGCATTCTTTGTGATAAGGAACTAATGTATTCTACTGTTTTCACTGATATATGGATTTTAGATATCTTGTGCAGATAATCAAATTCATATACTAAAGATGCCCTCCATGGAAATCGTGAAGTCTATTTCAGGGATCAAGGTATGTTTCAATTGAAAATTCGGATTTTTCTTTCCTGGGATACATAAGAGGCTTCTTTTCAAGGCCATACTTTTGCATGGTATTGACTCATCATAAACATTTAATAGGTTGAGTTAATAGTAATTAGTAAGAAATGTTATGTTCTTTTATAAGAACCACTATTAGTAGGTTATAGTATTCACAGTGCACATCATTGGATGTACGTGCCATATAGAATGCTACTAAGAATACCAAAACATTGAGTATAGGCCTCAATTTTGGAGGCAAACAACATGCAAATAAATCAGAGTCAAGTTTCATTTAAAAAATAAAAATAAACTCAGGGTCAACTGTACCTTTTTGTTGTGAGCCAGGTGATGAAATCCTACTCATGATTTTCTCTCAAAGAACCTTTAGAATTGGTCACATTGAGTCTGGGCCCGGTGGTTTGTTGCATAAGCATACAAAAAGGACATCATTAAGTCCCTGTACCTTTTCTGGGAGTAGTGTTTCATGGTTCGTTGACTGACCTTGCGACCTGCATTCCAGATTGCACGATCCCAAACAGACAATTCACGATCTGGGTCGCTGGTCTTCACGAACTGACTGCTGTCGCTGATTGCAGCCAAATAGATAGGTCTCAGTCACGAGTTGTGATCTTGAGCAGTTCAGTTCCATGTCTTCTCCGTGCCTCTGCGACGGCTTATGGGAAAAGTGTATATCTTTAGTAAATTACACCATTTTGGTTTTGCTTTATTAATTAAAAACAGAGTATAATATATATCTATTATCTATTAAGATTTTCTTATTAAAGTTATAAAACCGTTAAGTGTTTTAGGTTAACCTGAGATAAAGGTTGACTTGGCCAGGTTAATAAATACATTTTGTATATTTTTTCATGTGTTATTACTGAAAAAGGTCCAAACAAAATTCACAATGAACTGCGACCAGGAATATCGTACTTACTAAGTATACCCCTAATGTCCTGGGCACCCATGAAACTGTGCACCCTGTACCCGTTCCTGTTTCATGTACCAAAGCAATCCACGACCTGTGCAACCCCGGCTGGGAGTGAATATGCTGATGAAATTTCTGCCTATAATTGCCTTGTGATTGGCCTTAAATTTCTTTCACCCTGATGCAGAGAAAAAAAATTTGTGCATCTGTGAGATAAAAGTGAGCTGGTTCTTAAGCTATTTTTTCCTTTCCTTTCATGAATGTGCCTGGATACCTGATTGATGGATTCCTTCACCTTTTTGTACACATTCTTTGAAATTGGTTTCAGCAGCTTTCGGTGAGTAAAATAGTTTCAGCTTCTAAATAGCTTTCTTTACTTTTCAGCTTCCTTATTCATGTCCAGAGATATATGATGGAATATGCAGCAAGTTTGCCTTTGATCACACTGATGGGTTCGTTGCCTTGCGTACCGTGAATTATCGCATCCAATTCTACAGCTTGTTTGATGACCGCGAAATGTCTGAGGTGATTATGTTTCTTGTTTAATTGATATTTCAATGGATAATTAATTGTTGAATTTTCTAGGGCGAGCCTTTTTTTTATTTTATTTGCGGTGATCTATGGTTAGATAATTAATTGTTGATTTTCTAGGGCGAGGCTTTTTTTTTTAGGGTCATATAAGTGATGATGTGTAAGTGAAATTTTTCTCACTCGGTAATTTGCAGGTTCAAATATGTGAAAGAAACCATCAACCAGGGGATGAAGTCAGAGTAAGTTGCTTGTTTTAGTTTCTAGCTTGAAATTATATTTGGTTTTCATTCTTTTAAAACACATGATCACTAATTTGACCATGTCTTGGGTTATTTTGGTCACAGGTAACAGTGACTTTGGTGTCTTTATCTAAAGATGGCTCTATGATGAGCACTGTTGAAGTTAAGCTTCCCGAGGAGGGGTTAGGTAGTCTTGTTTGTCTTAAATTTTGGGCATCAGGGCCACAGAACAAAAATTTCAGCCTGTCCACTGTTGTTTATGAACCTCACAGGTATGGGCCTGACTGATCTATTGTGGATGGAATCTGATGTCTATCTGTTGTTATAATACTTGTTGGTAGTCCTGTTATAAAGTAGTGACTGCTATTGAACTTGTTAAAGACAAGGAAAAACTGGTATCTTGTTAATTTACAGTCTCTTATGTGCTTCAAAGTCGTGATGATAATTATATTTATTAGTTAGGTTGCATTGTCGTTTGTATAAATGATATACACTCGTGGTAACTGTTAATCTTTTGTGTTGTATAGGGATGCTAGAATTTCTTCCCTTGCGTTCCATCCTACTCGTCAAATGGTTGCTAGCTCATCATATGGTGGGGATTTCAAGGTAATTTGAATGATTTTGATAATTACTGTTGAGGATTCTGTTTCCTGTGTAGTTTACAGTTTTGTTGCACTGTCTCAGATTTGGGTTTGCAGTGATGAGATTCAGCAGAAGCATGAGGCGCTGCAACATTCTGGGTGGATGTGTCATGCAATAGGTTCATACAAGTATGTTCCTTCCCTTTTTAGTAAGGAAAAACTTTCATGTAGATATTGTCACTGTTCTTGCTGAGAGTTGAATACCCAACATTTGTTGAAAAAGAATTTACTAACTATAAAGAGTGATTAAATCTAAGTATAAAGAGATGGTTAAGTCATGAATAGCCAAAATTTTTGGGGAGTGAATTACGAACCCAATTTATTTTGGATTCGAGTCAGATCTTAATCATGATATTTCTAACTGAATATTGGTTAGTTGTAGTAGCTAACTCTGCTGTGTGAATTTCTTGTTCTTGTGTCGTTCCATAAAGCTTTTGATGTTGTAGTGTTTTAAAGTACTGTTCTTGGTATCTGTTTATTATTTCTTACAGATTGCGTGTCAGGTCTTATAGGCAAGAAGAAACCTTGTCATCTCTTTTGCAGTCCTTCATTTTCCTTTTATGAAAATTTGTTTTCTTTCAAAAAGTGGACACCTCAGTTGCAGATATAGCTCATGAAAAAATGGGCGGGGGATAGAGTACCAGGGTAAAAAGGAAAAGGGAGTGTACACATTAGATGTTTTTGCACATATACATAACCTGGTGTTTGAAACTTTTGGTTTTTGGCTGTCTTCGTAACACATATGAACTGCTTTGATAACTGTCTTATGGAAAATCATTTCCTTCTCAGGAATAAGCCAATGACAGCTGCTGCATTTTCTGGCGATGGTTCTGTTCTGGCGGTTGCAGCTGAAAACGTAATCACTCTATGGGACCCCGACAACAATGCACTTGTAGCTGTCATTGGAGAGATGCAGATGGTGATTTTTTCAGATCCCAATCATCTTTGGACTAATCTTTCTTTAGAAACATATGTTATTCATGTGAATCATCATATCAGTGCTTGGAAAAATGCGAGTCATGCCCTTTCTACGTCTAGTCTTTACACTGGGTTCTAAATCAGGGATGTCTCGGCCTGGTTGAGCATGGTGATCTTAAGTTTTTCTGGTTATGGGTAGTCTTAAATTTTTTAGGGTACGGGTGGTCTTCAAATGTGTGAAAAAATTCGAGTCGGGGCCTTTCTACTTCTAAAATCTTTACACTGGGTTCTGATCTTTCATTGATTATCTTCATGCATAAGGATACTAGATTACCTAGTATAAAAGATATATTAAGAACTTCAGACGTCTCTGCTGCTTCCAGTTGAGCGTGGTGGTCTTAAGTTTTTCTGGGTATGGGCGGTTGTAAGTTTGTTGGGGTATGGTATGGGTGATCTTCAAATGCCTGAAGTTGGGAGCATCTTTAGAATTTACACCCTTTTTAATTATGCTTACTGCATCATTTTGAGGCTGGTACACTCAATAGAGTTGCTGGCATATATTGAAATGTAACTCAAACGCTGCTTATATAATTTTGTTTTTCCTCAGCCAATTGCGACCCTATCTTTTGCTGGGAAATCAGAGTATCTCGTGTCTGTCACTAAAGGTTCAAAACCACAACTATCGGTGTGGAGCATGTCAGAACTATCTGAATCTTGGTCATATAAGCTACACGTAGAAGGTTTGAACCTTTGTCTCTCCCTCTCCTCACCCACTGTGCAAAACACTTTGTAAATTGTGTTCTGTGTACTTTTTCTCTGCTTAAGGTTTTCCTAATCACATCAATATTGTTTGTGTAATAAATGCAATTGAAGTGACTTGTGGTTTTATCTTTATCCTGGTGTACAACTCAGTTTAATGCATACGCTAAGGGCTAAGGAAGCCCCTCAATAATTTAAACCAGCCATTCACGTTTATAACTTTCGAAGGGCTCAGAGTGGCACTGATAACATTGAACATTGTCCCATTTATAGTTTAGTGACATCAAGCTGAACGTTCCTGTATATTTACTAATTGTGACAGTCATGTCACTAGTGTTGTACATCGATTTAACATCTGCTATTTCTAAAATTTTCAGCTGTTACCTGTGCGGTAGATTCGTCATCATTTGCAGTTCTATCTTTACTAGGAAAAGATGGGGTAATCTTATTATTCAATGCAACAGATCCTGTTCCATTGGCTATGTGGTCTGTAAGGAAGGTATATACTTAAAATCTCTGCTTTAGTGCTTTTTGTTGAAAGTCTTTCTGGTATATCCATCCCCATTTTCTTGTTACTCTTCTAATAAAATATAAGAAATTTGTAAGTGTTAATTTCGCCTTTAACTTTCATTCGCATTAGGACTCAATTGATTGATTTATTTTTCTATGAACAAAGATATAAACTGTATAATTTGGTGGGGACAGCACTGCCGTAAAAATCTGAGGGCTGGAATTTGGATGTGTTTTAAGACCTATGAATCCATAAATAGTAGCTTGCTTTCAGGTTACATTCACATTTGTGTTCCTTATGTATTTATTTATTAATCACATTTTCCCCAAAGAAAATGAAGAAGACCTCACTTTGTTTAAGAAGTTCCAACTTTCTCAAGCCACAGAAAAATGACAAGATAAAGAAACAAGGAAAAATCTAAACCATTTTGTGATGTACATTATAACTCTAAAGCTTATACAGTTGAAGCACGAATTCGTGTTGCAACTGCTGTTGCTTCATAGTATTACAAAAGAATGAATTGTATTTTATTCCTTTATGCTTTTATTGCAGGCTCAGGGAGGCGGGCTTGCTTTTCTCAACCTCGACCAACTTTCTAACCAACAAAATATTTTAGATAGGAACCGTCCACAAGCTTTGCTTGTCTATGTAAATGGTGACCATGAATACGTCATCTTTGACCCATATAACATTGAAGCAAAAGAACTTAGTCTAACCAGGCCGGGGAGTCGTGTTGCCCCTGATGAAACAGGTAGAGTTTCCTTTTGCATTAGTTGTGTTGCTTATTGTCTGTAGCAACAAAAGATCAGCATGATGTGTGAACAAGGGGCCCATATATTATATTGTTAATTTTAAAATAGCATACACATGACATAATATGCTATTATATTTATAAATCCTTAATCTACTCATTGTAAATTTGTCGTATAATATTTGGGAAAGGAAAATATGCAAGGTTAGGAAATTCAAATGCTCTGTTTGAACTTTGAGTAGAAGCCCTCTTATTCAGACAGACTTTCTAATGGAAAATGAGACTCCCCCATATGGATGCCCTTAGTCACCATCGGTTTCAAGCTCAGTTTAGAATTAGCATATTTTATCCTCATGCATATATGCATGCAAGCATACATATATATGTAAGTACATTAGATAATTGTTTAGGAGAACTGATGACGAAAAGTTGATTTATATGTTGGTATGTAAGCTTTTTATCAATTAAACCATATACAGATATATCCTTTCCAGCAAAACCACGTTGATGTCGTTATTTAATTTGTTGAGAGCCGAAGAATGATGATATTTGGGTTTCTACATGATGTGTGTATGAATTACCTGTATTACAGTATTGTATCTTGTTATTAATTTATTTTTCATATACCAGGGCAATTTGGATATTCATCTATCTACGGGGAGCTACCGAAGTTTGATATAAAGAGAGACCAGACCGTGGCCCCATCTGCTCCATCACAGAGGCCTTGGGAGACCATATTTAGTGGGTCATCTCATGAACTTCCACCCCTAACCAAACTGTGTTCAGATTTTATGGAATCACTGCTAGAAAGGAGGACTGCAATGGTAGAATAACTTGTTTCGGTGGCTTCCACTGCCATTCTTGATCAAGTGAAGGTATGAAGAAAACTAGATGCGTTGATATGCTCAGCATCACGCATTTTGTGGATGCGATGTAAATGAGGTCAACGCCAAGTTAGATTAAATGAACAATGTCTTTAAATTTGCGAATATAGTAGTTGTGGCTCGCGTTATGATGATCTTTATCTCTTGAATCTCGCTGGACAAAATTCTAGCCCGTAGGGGAACCAAAACGGCCAACTGAGGGAAGTTCAGTGGCATGGGAAAGTTTGTAATTCGGAGTGCATGGTTACTGCAAAATTTTGTTTTCTTATTTTTTTGAAGAAGATTTTGTACATTTCATGAGTTTGTATTGGATTTTAAACTCTATTGTTAGCTACTTTTAAGTGGAATGAGATTTTGGCCTTTGTCTAGATTGTATTATGGCTTAGCTTCCTTGCTTTTTGGAGCTTGTTTTACAATGTTCGTTATTTTTATACATATGCAATTGGAGGGGGTAATTGGGACTTAGATGATCAAAGAATTACTAGTGGAGTACGTCAATTTTCTAGATGTAACGTTGAAAAAAAGAAAGACACCCAATTTTTAAAATCTAGTGCATGTATGTAGGTAGTGCTCTCTTTAATGCTTTCATGTAAACATGCTTGAGAAGCTTGAAACAATGTCGAGTGAATGTTGGACTATGTAGACCTTTAGTAAGAATATCGGTTGTCTGTTCATCAGTGGAGAGATATTCGACCAACAGATCACCTTGATGCACCCTCTCTCTGACAAAATGGTAATCCGTATCAAGATGTTTTATCCTTCAATGATATACAGGATTTGCACTAAGTGCGATTGTTGACATATTATCACAATAGATGGTAGGTTGAACAGATAAGACCACTCCCAAGTCTTTCAAGATTAGTCAAATCCATGCTACATCGGCTGCAGTATGAGCCAGTGCCTTGTATTCTGCTTTTGTAAAGCTTCTAGAAACTGATGTTTGCTTCTTTGATTGCCAAGAGATCAGATTCCCTCCAAGATAAACCACGTATCCCATCACGGACCTTCTTGTATTCAAATCAGCAGCCCAACTAGCATTTGAAAATGCTGTTAAATGCATGGCAGTGTCAGCTGAATATGTGATTCCACACTTTATAGTACCTTGAAGATACCTAATGATCCTTTTTATAGAGATTAAATGTATATCTATTGGAGCAGCCATGAATTGACATACTGAATTCATAGCATAAATTATGTTTGGGCGTGTGAATGTGAGATATTGTAGTGAGCCAACCAAACTTTGATACAATGTAGAATCCTACTGTCACATCCCAGCCTCGCCTCAGCCGTAGCACAATATTGTCCGCTTTGGGCCCCGACCATGCCCTCACTGTTTTGTTTCTGGGAACTCACACGAGAACTTCCCAGTGGGTCACCCATCTTGGGATTGCTTTTGCATGATCTCGCTTAACGTTGGAGTTCTTATGGAATCTGAAGCCAATGAGCTTTCAAAAGGCCTCGTGCTATATGGAGGTGGGCATGTACATCTAAGGCATAGAGGATCCTTTCCCCTGGATGATGTGGGATCTAACAATCCACCCCCTTAGGGGCCCGACACTCTTGTTGGCACACTTCCGGCCAGGGATTGGCTCTGATACCAAATTGTCACATCCCGGCCTCGCCTCTGCTGTAACACGATATTGTCCGCTTTGGGCCTCGACCACGCCTTCACAGTTTTGTTTCTGGGAACTCACACGAGAACTTTCTAGTGGGTCACCCATCCTGGGTTTGCTCTCTTGTGATCTCGCTTAATTTCGGAGTTCCTATGGAATCCGAAGCCAGTAAGCTCCCAAAAGGCCTCGTGCTATATAGAGGTGGGCATGTACATATAAGGCATAGAGGATCATCTCCCCTGGACGATGTGGGATCTAACACCTGCAATGGTTTACCTTCATTTAGTAGCATCTAACTATGTGGTTTGCATGGAGTATATGCTAGTTTGCATGACTCCATTCTAGCTTTGTGAATCAAATCTTTAACATACTTCGATTGATTCACAAAGATGTCCCTATTCTTTTTGTACTGAATTTGGAGACCCAAGAAATATGTAAGTTTGCCCATATCCTTCAAGTCAAACACACATGCCAAATCTTCAATAACTTGTTGGACTTTAGTAGCATTTGATCCTATTAAAATAATGTCATCCACATATAGTAAGAAAACCACCACATCCTTGTCATCATTTTTCACAAAAGACTAGTATCAGATGCAAAAGCAACAAATCCCAAAGTTGTTAAATAGCTTGTGAACTTTGAGTTCTATGCTCGAGGAGTCTGTTTCAACCAATACAATGATTTAACCAACTTACAAACATAATTGGGTTTGGTTTGATCAACAAACCCGTGATGATGTTTCATATACACCTCTTCTTATAACTCACCATGTACAAATGCATTTTTGATGTCAAATTGCCTTAATTCCCATTTGTGTATTGCTGCTAAAGACAAAATCAACCTCGCAATAGTGTGTCTTACTACTGGACTAAAAGTTTTTGAATAGTCCAAACCTTGTTCTTGTGAGAATCCCTGAGCCATAAGTGCTTTATATCTAGCTACACTTTCATCAGGTTTTTTCTTAATCTTGTAAACCCACTTGCTTCCAATAACTGTTCTGTTTTGTGGAGGAGAAACCAATTCCCATGTCCCCTAAGCTTTTAGTGCATTAAACTCTTTTTGCATTGCATTTTTCCATTGAGGAATTGTAGAGGCTTTCCTGAATGTAGAGGGTTCATCCATATCCTTAATTGCAACAATAAAAGAAAATCCACCAACAAAGTCATACTCATCATCTATCTATAACGTTTGTAACACTAGAAATGAAGCAATGAATCCAATGTATGATTTCCTTGGAATTGTACTTGACTTCAATCATGTGACCATAGAATGAACTGGTTGTTCATTAGGTTCAACCAAAGGAGAAGAGATTGGTAGTATTACCTCTAATTGTGAAGGACAATGGATAGGCAGCAGTGACATTGTACTTTGATTTGAAGCTGCTAGAGTAAAGGGAGAAGAGCTATTATCATGATTACTGAGATCCTGTGAGTCTTGAGTAGATGAACTAAGATCCTGCAAACTGTCTCTTGACCTGTCTTCAACAATTTCAGGGTTTGCATATGAATCTTCATGAATATGAGGAGTTGTAGGATCTATCCTTGTACGAGATGAAAACAATTGAATAATAATTGGAGACATTTGTGTACCATATGGCTTGTTTGAACTTATTGAAGACAATTGCATTTTACTTTTGAATGGAAATGTATTCTCATCATGAATGACATGTCTGGACAACACTAGTTTATTACTAGATATATCAAAACACACTACCCCCTTGTATCCAGCAGTAAAACCGAGAAAAACACACTGTTTAGATCTAGATTGCAGTTTGTTCTGATTGTATGGCCCTAAGAATGGATAGACTGCAGAACCAAATATTTTCGAAGTATTCAACATTGGTTCTTGATGACACAGTAACTAATATGGAGACTTCATTCCCAAAATCTTACATGGCATTCTGTTTATCAGAAATGCAACATGATGGCAAGCATAATTCCAAAACTGTAATGGAATCCTAGCTTCACCAAGAAGTGTAATTGCAGTTTCTACTAGGTGTCTATGTTTCCTCTCAGCAAGACCATTTTGCTGAGGGCTATATGGACATGATATGGAATGTACAATCCTTTTAGTTGCGAAGAATGACTGAAACTTATTACTCATATACTCAGAACAACCATCTATTTGTAGGCACTTAATTGTAGTATTAAATTGATTTGTAACAAATGCTGAAAAATTGATGAATATTTGAAAAATATCTGATTTATTGATAAGTGGGAAGATCCCTACAAATCTTGAAAATTCATCAATAAAACTCACATAGTACCTAAATCCTTCTAAAGACTTGGTTGGAGCAGGTCCCCATATATCAAAATGTACTTTTTCAAAAATAGAGTTAATCCTAGTGTCTTTTACAGAAAAGGGTTGCCTACACATTTTCCCAGAGAAATAGGAAGAACAAACTGAAGGTGATGAATCCTCACTAGGTAACTGTCCTGCATTTCTGAGCATAACAGCAAGTACTTCTTCAGATGGGTGTCCTAGTCTCTTGTGCCAAGTTGAAACTTTCACAGCCTTCTCGAGCAATGCAACGACTTTATTTGAACCAACACCAAATCTTCCTGGAAACACATTCACATAGATCTCGTATAGCTTTCCTCTACTTTTGTCTTGGTACAATATCATTCCTATTACATTGTCCTGTATAAAAAAACACACGTGTAGATTAAATTTTGGTTGTAATTTGATATGATCAATTGTTGTAAAAGAGCATAAGCTCTTCTTTACTTTAAAGTAATTTGATTTGATCAATTGTTGTAAAAGAGCATAAGCTCTTATTTACTTTGAAGTACTCCTTTCTTGTTTTATTCGATATGCATGAAATTGGAGTAGTTGGGTCCAACGCCCAATAAGACAACACGCCTTAATGTGATTAAACGCGTAACTAAAATCAATTACCATCCCTAGACCGAGATTTAACACTAGGCTCGTGTTGAATCGAATCAAAGGTTCATAGTCATCCTAAGGCCCTAAGGCAACTATATAGTCCATCAATGAATGCAAATCTTATGTTAGTAGTACCATATAGTCTTGCTTTAAAAACCGTTTTAAAAGCATAGTGGGAGTATTATATACTACTAAATCAATCATATGGACCAATAGTTGTAATAGGACCAAAATGTTTTAATTGGATTAAAATGTATATTTATGTGATGAGACCTAAAACCCTCAACCAAACCATTATTAAGTTGATAAGCGAGAGATGCTTTGAATATCTCTTCGTGGCCTTCCACCGTGGTAGGCTCCAATCGTTTGTGACTTGTACACCGGCTTCACTCTATCATGGGGGAGTACAAAGTGCATGCTTACACTCAGGAGGAGTCTATACGCATATGATG